GCCAAGTCTTTTACTTCCTCATTTCTCCGTAGGCACCTATCCCTCCATACCTGAAGGTTATCTTCATTATAATACTTGCTTTGGTCTGTCTTCTTCGAAGCGTCGCTCTCCTAGCCGACGTCTTTTTCTCCGTGGCCCTGGTCATGATTTTCTGTACTGTGGTTGTCTCCTTTAATGTCAAGGTCAATTGGTCTGCCACTCCCAGCAGGAGTGTCGCCCCCAATGTTTTCCCTCTGTCTGTTACTGGCCATCTATTCTTCTAAGCTTCCCACAGACGGCGCCAAATTGTGTGGGTAATTTTCTGACCACACTGCCTGCCTAGTAACCAGCTGGAGAGCACCGGCAGAATAGATGGCTTTAGCAAACTTGTAACAGAAAGAAAAAGGCTCCGGCGGTGACTCTTCCACCCGGGTGCACTTTGACGATCAAGTCAGTATATCCCTCAAAGATAATCAAGTGCTAAAATCACAAACTTGAGTATAAAACTGCGTACCTTAGACCCACGGGGGTGCCTCTCTTTTATAGTTTACTCAATCCAAGTCCTACTAGAAGCCTGTCTTCTATGGACTCCAATTTAGTATTAACTTTGGACTCTTCAAGAGATAAACTCCCTAAGAGTTTTATCCTTATCTTGGTTAAGTCTTCTCTTTACTCTAGGACTCTTGTCCCTTATCCGCTTATCTCGGATTCCGATATCTTCGGAGATAACCTCGGCCTTGACGAAATAACCTCGGCGTCACAACCTGGACACGTGGCACTTCGGCTGACACGTCGGCGTCACCTTGCCACGTGTTGGTATTCAGAAAATACATCCCCGCAATTTCCTTTTCTTTTATCTAGATGGCTTGAATTAAAATTTAGGTTTAAATTTTTTCTTATTTTTCACGTTTTTTTTGTTTTCTTTTTTTGTGGTTGTTGTTGTTGTTTTTGCTTTTGTGTTTTTTGGTTTTTTTTTTTTTTCCCCTTCATTGAAACATATGTTTGTGTTGCAACTGCATGCTTGAACCTCTCACTAGGGTATGACGCGCAGTGTTGGCACTGATGTCCCTCGATAACACTGTCCATGAGGTTTTCAAATTCATATGAAAATCAATGACAACTCTCAATAGCATATCAAAAGGCCACCCTTTGGGCCCAAATGATGCCCATTTAAAACCCGTCACAGGTTGGGAAGACAAGCTGAAGCACATCATGCCCCTTATATATTGTTAGGTTTTTATTCTTGGCAACCCCGTTTGACAAAACTCCTTTCAGATGTATTTATTTTCGCACTTTTTATTTCAGTGAGGTTATGAGTTTATTAGATGCGAATCCAAACCCGAATCAAACCATGCAGAGAAGTTTGTGATGTTAATGCTTTCAAGATTGCCACTTCGCTGATTATTACGGGGGTCGAGCTGCCTGGTCAGCTCGCGGCAGAAGCAAAATGCAAAATTGCATTCAAAATTGCATGTCCGTCGTTGCTCGCTCGAGCCAAGGAATTCTCGCTCGAGCTAGGGCTTGCTCGCTCGAGCCAAGGAATGCGCGCTCGAGCCAAGGATTGCGTCCATACAAAAACCTGAAAAAAGTGTATTCCTCGCTCGAGCCAAGGATCCGTCGCTCGAGCCAAGGCACTAGTAGAAATCATGAAAAATACACTCCTCGCTCGAGCCAGCAAATGAGCTTTAATTCTCTATGTTTTCCAAGTTTAGACATGTTTTCTCATGTTTTGGGGCCCAAAGGTTGAGTTTGAAGCCATCAAATTTGAGTTTTGCAGCTTGGAGGTGAATCTGGAAATTCCAGAATTCGACCTCTCTGCTTGAGTGACAAAACCTGCGCTCAAGTGACCACTCTGTGATCTTGCACTTCCGCTCGAGCGACCGAGAGTTCGCTCAAGCGTGAAATGCAAGCTCCTAGAAGTTCATATGTTTTGCAGACCGCTCGAGCGATAGAAGTTGCGCTCGAGTGAGGACCTGAGTCTCACGCTCGAGCGAGCGTCGAGCGGAAAAACCAAGCAACCAGTACTTTTGCAAAGTTTACAGACTGCTTGAGCGACCACTCACATTTTTGCATGTTCGCTAGAGCGAATGAAGTTGCGCTCGAGCGGGGCCCCTATTTTCAGCAATTTTGTTAAGAGTTCCAAAGTGCATTTTGACATCCTCATTGCACCTTAGATATTCCTAGGCCATAGTTAAGACCTAATAATGAGGATAAGACTTAGAAACACACTAAGAATGAAATGAAAAGAGTTATGTGATATCCGAGTATGTGTTTCAAGATGTGTATCTGTTATGTTTGTGTAGGTCACGCGCCATAAGCTATTTGATTTTGTCTGCTCTGTCTGTTCGCATCTGGAACCATTAGTGAGTAATAACTTAATAAAGCTATGTTTAACTTTAATTATTTTTTGAATGATATGAATTAAGATTTGTTTTATGCAATGTTATATTCTATATAATGAATGATTGTACAAGTTTATGAAATGTATTCGTGGCATTCTTAGTACAAGGCCCTTACCGGGGGGTAATAATAACATGGTTTCATGGCCCTTGCCCGAGGATAATAATACCATTGTCTCATGGCCCTTGCTTGGGGGTAATAATACCATGGTCTCAAGACCCTTTCTCGGGGGTAATAATACCGTGGCTTAAGTATATTACAAGTTCCCGGTGCTGGAGGTTCCTTGTGGAACTAACAAGCATGATAACACTAATGGATGTACCATGTATGATGAAGCATGAACTCTGATTTCTGTATGTAGTTTGAACAAGAATATGAATATAAATATGTTTCTAATATGAACTATGATTTTCTGAATCTGTTATGGACATCATTTATTTAAACCTTTTACTCTATTATTATTCACTAGGTTTTCGCTCACTATTTATATTATGTATGTAGGTGAGCAGACATGTGACCAGGCCTACGTTGTTGCCTGGAATGTTTTGGGTCAGCTAACCACTGTGCCTCCCGGGGAGGTTCCTTTTGAGAAGTCAAGTTCTGTGAACCATTGAAGATGTTTGGTTGTTGGTTTTTGCTTATCTGTACGTTGGGCTAAGTCCCTCATGACATTATATGTACGGTGATACAAGTCTTATGGAAGTTTGACATTATATAAGCTTAAAATTTCTTTTCCGTTTCATATATGTCTACACAGCTCTATGGACCTTGTATTCTGTATAATTGCTTCCGTAGCCCCTTATATTTTGTTATTCTGTTAAGAGACCTTTGGTAATTCGAGGATTACTAGCTAGTTATGTCGCTAAATCTATAGGGGCGGGTTTGGGTCGTAACAGTATCACTACTCAAAACGAAAATGATACTAAACAAATTCAAACATAAAAGATATAAGAGAAATTACAATTCAGTAGCAACTACCCAATGCTTCCGTTGCAATTTATTTGTTAATTACAGAAAATTTAACTTATTAAGGAGATATGTAATCATTATATATTTTAATTCAAATTTTAAAATATTTTTCTCACCATCGCCCCTCTATTTGAATTTTAAATGTATTTATAATGATTTATAGGGATAATTTTAAAATTTAACAAAATTTAACATCCCAAAATAAGAAGTGGACAAATATTTTGGGATTGACTAAAATGGAAAAGTAGACTAATAAAATGAGACGGAGAGAGTACAATTATAGATTCATAAAAAAATTTAAAATTTTAATTACTATGCTTCACACTTTGCTCAAGCATATTGTTGCACCATATTGCTTTTGCTTTGTTTCATTTCCTTTTCTTTTATCTAGATGGCTTGAATTAAAATTTAGGTTTAAATTTTTTCTTATTTTTCACTTTTTTTTTTCTTTTTTTGTTGTTGTTGTTTTTGTTTTTGTTTTTTTTCCCTTCATTGAAACATTTGTTTATGTTGCAACTGCATGCTTGAACCTCCCACTAGGGTATGACGCGCAGTGTTGGCAGTGATCCCTCGATAACACTGTCCATGAGGTTTTCAAATTCATATGAAAATCAATGACAACTCTCAAAAGCATATCAAAAGGCCACCCTTTGGGCCCAAATGATGCCCATTTAAAACCCGTCACAGGTTGGGAAGACAAGCTGAAGCACATCATGCCCCCTTGTATATAATAGCATTCAACAATGATAGAGATCACTAATTTTGGAGCTCTAAAAAGACCACTAATGATATGGCACTCAATAATAAAAAAAAAAATACAACACCAAGGTCAAAACGTCAAATCATTCCTGATGGGGTCCACTGCCACATCATTAGTGATAGCATTAATTAGTACTCTCACTCATTTTCCAATAGCATTTTAAGCCCTTTGCAGATAGATTAGCACAAGGAAACACCCCACATGTTTGAGTTATAATGGAATTACCCAATAACTCCAATAAATTCCAATAATAGGAATTTAGAGAAATGCCACCAAAACCTAGGGGTGGTCATTTATCAGGCCAGACTGACATTAGCTAATAAGGGATTTTATGTCTGTCCAAACCCGCTCAGCCCTAACATCGGACCTCTATAATCAGTCCAAGCTTAGTCCTAAATAAATTATAATTCTCCAATCCATCTATGTGAGCTATTAAAAAAAAAAAAAAGGCAGAGAATCAATGAATCTATAATTGCAATATTAATCTGTACTTTCAATAAAGAGGAGAATTCTCTGTCCAAGAACGAATGAAATCAACAATAAATAATAATAGTGGAGCCAATTGTTTTTTCGCCCACCAATAGCACTTGCATTGCAGTCACAGCTTATAAACTCAAAAACATATATACAACGCATATCATCACATCTCATATACATACAAACCATGTAAACTCCCGAATCTCACCTCCAAACAAACAAAATCGCGATGAAACATATGGAAATCATACCAAATAATTGATAATAAACCTAAGAATTTGCAGAATTCATAAGAAAATACAATTTTTTTTTATAATTAAGACAATCCCTGATGCCAAATAAAAGAGTATATATATTTTCAATATATCATATAAATTAATTAAAATATATAGCAGGTTGGGTCGGGTTAAAAGTGTGTTTCTCAAATTCAACTCATTAATCAATCGGGTTGAAAATATCAATCCAGTCCACCCCTATGGATTAAAATAATATTCTCAAACTCTAAAAAAATAGGACTGAATTGAGCGGGGTGGGCGAGCTAGTGGGCTGATGCCCACTCCTATGAAAACCCCAAATCCATAACTCTTCCCTCCTCTGTGGTGGTGTGGACGGGATGGAAAAGTGAGGGGGAAGGAGAGGGGGAAGGAGGGGGAAAGAGGGAGGAAATGAGGGGAAAAAAAGAAGAAAAAGAGCATGCATAATAGTATATTTCTAAAGATAAACGGGTTGTAAATGTTCCAGCTAATCAAACAAGTTAGTTGAGTCATGCAATTCCCCATTCTGAGGAATGCATGCTTGATCCAAAGAGACAAACCCCATAACCATACATGCAAACAAAAAGTTCGAATTCAACCATTGATGGCAGCAACATCCACTAGTTTGACATGAACATCCACCACTTATAGAAAGCAATACCATAAACTGCAGTGTAAACCATCACCCTCACTGGGTACATTCTGGACCTGCATAAACACAGAGACTAAGACACTCAACCATTTGTGTTTCTTCTCTATTATCTCCATGATTTGTTCAATAATTTGTTTGAATTGCAACAAAAGTATCCTTGACGACACAATTTTTAGCAATATTCTTATACAAAAAATAAAATAAAAAAATTACACGGAATTTTTGTACAGAATATTGTGATTAAACTAGTGCCATTCATTAAAATTTCAAAAAAAGAAACCACCATCGTCATCGATTTTAATTTTTAAAATATTGCCACTGCATTATATTTTCTTTTAATAAACATTGGATTGAATTTTGGAACCAAACTTGAGGGCACATGGTAGATCATTCCCTAACCTTGTGATGTGGATGATATGAATTGGAATCTAAACCCAATGGAGATAAAGTGAATTTTTCTTTTAAAAATGGGAAAGAGAATGGCAACATCGCATAATGATAAGAGTCGAAACTCTAAATATGACTCAAATCTAAATATCAGCTTCGTAAGACAACCCTAGATCTAGACACAAAAGTGATTGTTCTAATCCCACTAAGTTGGAGAAATGGAATGTCTATTTTATTAGGATGTATATTTTATATACAAGTATTAATTTGCTTGGATATTTCAAATCAACACAACACAATAGAAATAGAGAGTTAAAAAGAGAGGTGGACCTTGTGGGTGGTGGTGTTGTTGGGACTCTTTGAGCAGAGGCAGAGTGAGGCTGCTGCTGACGCATGTCATGAAAAGAAACAGGAGAGGACCATCGAGAGACATGGCGGTCAAAGAATTCCCAATCAGGCAACAGAACACCGGCCACCGCAAACATGCCGAGGAGGTACGTGGCCATCATCTTCCTCAACGACTGCGTGCACAGTCCTACTACTGCCACTATCACCGCCAGCCATACCAGACACGACCGGAACGCGGCGTCGTTGGCCATAGAATAATCAGGAAGAACAAGTAATGGAAGTTGTTTGAGGGTCAGGGGAAGGAAGGTTATTGACAATTAGTTATTTTTTATTTTAGAATTTTGTATTAGCGTGTTGTGTGTAATTTCTGTTTAAATCTTATGAAACAAAAAATTAAACAAAAATTAAAAACATCCCACTCTTTTGAAAAATCAACTTCTTTTAGCTTGGTTAAATTGTTTTGGTGTAATAAATTATAAACAGAAGGTATACATAAATTTTCATGCCAAAATAAAGTATAAATTGCTTCCATAATCCCACTGAACACCCCGTTTGGCAAACCTTTAAATAACCAACTTATTTGTTTATTTGTTACAAGTTGTCACATCATTTTATAATTTTAAACACCGGCCGTTATGTATTGTATTGGCCGGTATGTAACGGGTTTTCAAGGATCCGATACCATTACACCTCAGTGTTGCGGTGTGAATTGATTTCGCAGCCGTATCGCAGCCGTATTGACGTATCGGATTGTAAATGATATGGTATGGTAAACTGTTACATTCCGATACGGGTTGTGATATTTCATTATAGGTTTGTACATTCCCATTACATCTCGTTAATAAATTTTAAAATTTCACGACTGTGACAATCGATTCCCAATACGTATCATCCGATATTTCTAATAACGATATTTTACGATCGATACCATTGCATATTTGGATACCTCAATTTAAAACCATATATTACCTATACTTTTTTTTTATTATTATATTTTTTCTTAAAAATAAACTAAAAAAATAAGCACACCTCAACCCCCCCTTTAATCAGTCATTTGTCAGAAAATTGTACCAGACAAGTTCGGTGTTTTTGGGTTGGAGGTGAGAAATGGAAGATGAGGGGAGGGTAGTTGGGAGTTTAGGGGATTGTCATAAAGCCATGACACAGAGTCAATAAATGTGTTGCGTTGTGGTGGTGTTGGTTATAAGCATGTGTGGTCATTTATTGAGAAAGAGACATTCGTGTCAACCCCTCTTTCTCACATGGTTGATGTCTTACAATTATTCTATCATCCCTATTTATTTATTTTTATTTTTTTTCTTTTAGTAAAGAAATTGAAGATAATTTTTAATTTTTAATCTCTTTTGAGTCATATCACCTATTTATTTTTTTATAATTTTTTTCAAAAAAAGTCAAAAAATTAAAAGACTAACTTTTAACATACTTCTCAAAATAATTCGATAGTTAAATTATAATGTAGTTAATGTCTCTCCATAAACTCGAATTTGAAATCTCACTTATCTTAGTATCTAAGTGCCTCCTCTATGATTACGTATAACTATTCTAAATTTACCCCCAAAAGAGATTGTGGGGTTAAAATTAAATTTATATAATGTGAATTCATGTATAAAATAAATTTAAGTCACAAAATGATAGTTTTAAATAATTTTTAAATTCAGTTTAAATTTATAGTATTATGAGTGTCTTATTGCATTATGAGAGGGTAATTTTTGAGAAGAATTGGGCCGAGCTGCGTGATTGGGCTTTGAGGCCCAGAGTGTGAAGGACTCAGTAAAAGGCCGCAATGATATTCCGGTCCAGAAGAAGCATAGTTACTCCGGCTCAGGAGAGGTATGGTTACTCCGGTTTAGAAGAGGAGTAATTGCTTCGGCCCTAGATGGTATAAAGCTACTCCGGTCTGGAGGTAACTTGATGTTAGTCCGGTCTCGGGTTAATCCGGTCGCGGTGTATTGTGGTTAGGTCGGCCAGAGCTTGCTACTCAGAAGCTTGGTCTAATCGCATCATGGTTGAACGGGGGAAAGCCGAGATAAGGAGTTGGAGGAGAATACCGAGCTAAGGATAGTTCGGTCTTCTCTGTGGCTCAGCATAGCCAGTGTTACTTCGGTCAAATGGTGATTCGGCCATGGAGAAAACCATCCCACTTGGTTTAAGCAGTGGGGGAGGGTGTAAAAGGATAAGCATTATCCTTAGGAGTATGAATCCCAGGAGGACTCTGCATGGAGAAATACAAGTCCTACTAGGATTGTGCCACGGGAAACTTATAAAAGCCCACAAACATCACCTTGGAGGAGGTAACACAAATAGAGTTTTATATCAAGAAGAGTTATTTTGATTTCAAAAATCCCGTGTTAACTGGATTACTCAAGGTGAGCGGAATACAAATTTTTTTCATATGTCTACCATTATTAAGAGAAGGAAAACAAAAATTGGAGTTTTGAAAAATGAGGAAGGGGTTTGGGTGCATAACCCCATGCAGTTAAAAAGTTTAGCAAATGATTACTTTCAAAGCCTCTTTGCTTATACTCAAACTATTAGCCTTGATCATTGGAGTAATCTGACCAAGCACATCAATCCTGAGTGTGACACCACAAAATTTAAGGACATCATAATAAGATTTAGAATTTAAAATCAATATTACCACCAATATTACTAACATCCATTAATTAACAACCCAGAATTTAAAGTTCTTACATCACAACTTAGTCTTAGTACATAAAAGAAATGATACAAATATAAAAAGAAAACTAGAGAAAAATTAGAAATTTTAGAAAATAGTTCATGAAACTTGACACTCTTCAAGCTAACCAAGGTTGAGTGTCGCCTTGCAAGGCCCCAGTGTTTCCTTCGATTTCTTCGGTACCTAGCATAAAATGCCAGGGCAACGGGAATGCCAGTGAGCGATGAGCTCAATAAGATACTACAACCCGAAAATACCCACCCCGATAATAATACTCACAATTTATGAATAATATGTAGTAACAGAATAACCAGTAACATTAGTAAGTATAAAATAAATGTTATCAGTTGAAATAATAACAATAAATAATAATAAATCAAATAATAATAAAAAATTATAACAAACGGAAGCAATATTTTCATCATAAGGAATATGCCCGCCTTTCTTTTTAAATTTTCATAAATTTAGTTTATCAGATAAATTTAAGTAACTCCCCGTGGAA